CTACCCACAATGACATACATACCTTTGATCGTGAAGGCAGTCTCATTGCGGGCAAGTGAATCTGATGGTTCCGGACAACCAAACCCTGGAGAGGACTCCTCGCACACTCGAACGGAGACGTTCCAGACGCCGCGATCGCCCGGGCAGTCCCAAAAGTGCGGCAACGCGAGGACTGGCTCGGAGGCATTGAACGGACGCGCGTCCTGGATCGGTTTCGGATATAGAACGTTGGTCGGCCAGTAGTCGACGAGCCAGACTAGATCTTTATCATCCGCCGGTATGGGCACGTTCTGTGCAGTAAGGTGCAGCAACGAAGTCGTGTTCGCCGAGCAAATCACCGTGGCGTTGGCGTCGATGAGAAGCAGAGGGTCAACGGTGATGGTAGTGACGGCAGCAGTAGGGGTGGTGGTCACGATGGTAGTGGTGGCGGTAGTGCTGGCGGTAGTGCTGGTGCCCGTAGTGGTAGAAGCCACACCGGCAGCCCCGTCATCGACACCCGTCCCGGTTGCATCGGCAGCAGCGCATAGGCTTACGCAGACGAGCAGCAGTGAAATACCTGCATATGTGGGTGCAAGAGAGGGAGCGAGAGGGAGCGAGAGAGAGAGAGAGAGAGAGAGAGAGAGAGAGAGAGAGAGAGAGAGAGAGAGAGAGAGAAGAGAGAAGAGAGAGAGAGAGAGAGAGAGAGAGAGAGAGAGAGAGAGAGAGAGAGAGAGAGAGAGAGAGGAGAGAGAGAGAGAGAGAGAGAGAGAGAGAGAGAGAGAGAGAGAGAGAGAGAGAGAGAGAGAGAGAGAGAGAGAGAGAGAGAGAGAGAGAGAGAGAGAGAGAAGAACACACAAAGGTATTGCCAGAAATGCTGCTGCTGGTGCTGTCATCAGCTTCATTTTGTTATCACCAAACAAACCGAGTCTTCCCAACACACCGTCGCGTACATTTTCCAACCGCACTCTCAAATCATGCCAAGTGAAAGTGCACACAGGCAGACTCCAGTATAATGTACTGAAGTACACCAGTATAATGTACTGAAGTACCTCCAACGGACACAAAAGTCAGTACTTTCTACCCAAGGTACCATATATCCAACGTCCACCGACTGGAAAGGATAAGCAGGGTTTTAAAAAAAAGGGTTTATATCCGATACAAAAAGAAAGGCCTGTTGTATCCGCTGTACTTTAGGGTTGGTTCACATATTGCCGGGAGTGGGCCTCTTGCAATCTCTCCCGGCGCAGTGTGATTATGTGTATATCGCAAGGGACCGCCGGCAAAGTTGGACAGTGCCCAACTCTTGCGATCGGCCCTGGCGCCGATCCCGTACAATTTTGACCAAAAGTGGTTTGTGAACCGTTCGTGCCGGTGATCGCCGGTGCCGGGAGCCAGACTTTGTCAAAATTTCAAACCAAGACTCATCCTAAATTTTCCTAAATTGAAGCTAAAGATGATGTCCGTTCGCCATTCTTGTAGTGGTTTCAAGGTGGCAAATTAAGTCTCGGATGATCTGCTTGACTGTTGTGCAACTTATGAGACAAATACAATTGAAATAAATAAAAAAAATAGGAAGGATACATAGACAAGTTCGTGTCACTTCATCCACGTTTGCACGCATAATTTCGACACTACCGCTTACTAGACTGCAATAAAAGGTGTAGAAGTAGTTTCATGATCTCCAGTAAAAGGTAGCACCGAGTTGCCATCACCGAAAGACCTTGAACTACTGAAGAAACAACGAATGCAAGCTTCAATTGGCAAACCTGTCGTAGCATTTGGGCACATTCTGTACTAATTTGTAGTAGATTTGGTACTCGAACCGTATGCGCAAGGGATCGGGAGCTGGCTCACCGCCGATGTCTTGCGATGTCTTGCGGCGCTGATTTTGCTTATGTGAACCAACTCTTACACTGAAGGTTCACTGCACTTCGAAGTAGTACACAACTCACAACTACTATTCGCAAGATTCTTGCCGGACGCAATGTGCCTGGCAAAGCTAATGTCCAGCAGGCTGCAATGAGGCAACGGGTGTGTGTCGGCATGCGTCTACGCTGCCCGAATAATCACGGGTGAGGGGCTGGGGCGTGTACAGGCACATCCATCCAGCATCTTACCTACTGCACCCGGCATGCGCTGCACGCACAGACCGCATGCACTATACGTTTTAAGATCACGTGCTGACGGACGATGCCTGGCTTCTATAAGCTATACCGGCCTACATGTAGCAAGTGCAGGTCTACCCTGGTTAGTAAGACGTCGGTTACAAGACCAACCTCGTTAGTAGACAAAGATCCGAAATCCCCCGACGCCTAAAACGCGTACATGCAAGTCCGGATAGTAGATAAAAGCTCGTTATAAGACAAACAATTTGAACCCCCCGCCCGGGTTGTCTACTAACGAGGGTAGAACTGTAGAAAGTTGCTGCGAGGTATATAGTCAACTGTGCGTATAACGACACTCGGCGGGGCATCAGAAAAGTGTCTTTATTCGCGAAGTAACCTTATATCCGAAGTCTCATTATCATGTATTACAGTCAGATGGGACTTTGCTCTGGGCACGGAAATTCTGTCGTTATTCGCGAACTGTCGTTATATCCGCAGTCGTTATTAGCGAAGTTGACTGTAGGTGAATTTCGAACTCTCCCGCCAGAACTTACACTTTTGGTGTACTCGAACGCTTTTTCGACACCACATGCTGAATTTATACAACTGACTTCTTGCACGAGTTGTAGACGTGATTTCTGAGCACGGTTTTATCGAGTGCACCGTGAGCACAGAACCCGGGACAGGTTCCAGCTGCCGTTTACACGGCCGTAATCCGCTCATTCTGATCTTTCGAGAATTTCAAACCCGAGTCCAGACTGTGTAATCAAACGTGTCGAACGATGGCAAGATCAATGCACGGCATTCACACAACATGCATATTATGCGGTGCAACGACCGTCCTCGAAACCCCTCGCAAAGACAACAGACAGTGGACACACTGGACCAGCCAGAGTATGCACTATGCAGCCACCATTGGGCAAACGAACTAGGGACAAACGAATCGTTACTGGGAGACGGAAACGATCACGCTGTCTTACGACTCGGCAAGACTACCGTCAACGTGTGCACTTCAAGCCAAAATACACCACAGCATCGTGTCAAGAGTACATGATCCTCAAGAGTGTGCAAATCCCGCATACACTGCTGTCCCGATAGAATTTCAAGTTGACGTCAAGTTTTTACGAAGCAATGCTCCTCGCGGGGCTGATTTACGTGTGTACCGGGTTTCAACGCATCACACGTGTTAATGCCTGCACTACTAGTTTGTACAGGATCAAATGGGTATCTGTCCACCACAGGTCGACGATACGTATCTGATAATAGGTGTTCATCATGTTTACAGAATAGATATGGCATCAACTTGAAATTCTGTCGGGGCAGAACTGATAGTGGAGTTGCACACTCTTACTATATCTTGGGGTCGGGGTCATGTACTCTTGATCGTACATATACTGGATATAAGGGAACACGTAGAAAAGGTGGGTCATATGATCAACTACACGTGTCCCGGTACAAACAGGCAAACTGTTGCATGTACGACAATCGTGACATGTGGAAGACAATAGTTCAGTTGCCCGCGCTCTGCGATGTATTTCAGGCATGCCTTGTGAGCACCCGATACTTACAAATACAAGGTGAAGGATATGGATCTGACAAAAGACAAAATAATTGAGTAAAATTCAATTGCATGCAGAAGAAACACACAGGGCTCAAAACGCACCGTATATCAGGCAGACATCAGCCCTTGCCATGATTTTCCGTCTACCCGACTGCACCATCTTGCCGGCCAGTAGCAAGCCTTGCAGAGAACGGCATCCACACTACACAGGAATACGGTGGAGCAATGGCGATCATCCACACATTGTCAACTGCAATACTAGATGCAAACTCTCCAGCTGCTTGAGAATTATTTGCTTTATCTAACTTTTCTAATCGATAATCCTCGCTGGTTGATGCCTCCTCAGATTTTACTGACCCACTCACTGCAAGTATGCTCCCACGGAAAAGGAAACAGTTCACTGCATTCGTCCTTTTACTAAAGTTTTAGTGTCGTGGGTGGGCTAGGGACGTACTAACACATTCGGCCAAAGTGAAGACTGAAGCCTCAACTGATTCAAAACTGCGAACATCTCGCTGTTCACTTCATGGAAAGCATGCAGTGCATACGCGTATACGGTATACCACCAGCCGCGTACTGCTGTGGTACACATGCACAGACTGAGTGGCACTCCCTTGTGACGTGCCTGACGCCGGATATCCGTGGGACATCCTGACCTGGATCGGGGGGACATGGACGCTAATCGGATCGCGGAGTAATCCCTGCTGGCCTGATCACTTGATCAGGCAGGGTACGGGTAGGGTCTTTTTTTGTAGGGAGTTGTAAAATAGGGTACTAGTATTTTACCACTCCCTGCCCCTGATCATCATTATGAGCAAGCTCATGGGCCATACAGTGCATACTCTCCATAGCCCATGGCATGGGGTCGGGCGGCTGATCTGAGGGGGCCAGGCCAGGGGGGGGGGGGGGGCAAAATATTTAAAAAAAACAATAGCCATACTCGTACCGGTAATAATGCATGTAATTATGATTATGGCCATGATACATGCATGCAATTAAAATTTAAAATAATTATTACGTTTATGCACTCTTGATACAGTATACCGTGTACATGTGAGTGCATGTGCATGGCTTCTGACGTTCTGTTTACTTGCAAAAGTGCTCGATACCGTACCACGAGCTGGGGCGGCAGAGCCAAATGGAACAAACTATTCAGACATGGCACGTGCTTGTTGCCAGGAGATGGCCAATGAGCGGCCAGAATAAGCAGTCAAGATCAGTCGATCTTGACCGCTTAGCCGGTCAAGAACAGCAGTCGTACAGCATCGCGCCGCACATGCGCATTTACCATTTTTCGAAGTCCTTGCCTTGGGCAACATCTCCGACGAGGACTAAAAATTTGTCTCCCTTCTCCAAAATTATTATATACTCACTACTGTCTTGAACGTCTGCAGGGAGACCAGAAACGCCAACCGACCTTGCAGCCGGTCCTGTTTCTCGCGGCGAAACGTACACAAGGGAAGCAGACCTCCACAAGTACATTTTGTACCTGCCCTAAGGCTGCAGCTTCTCAGCACTCGCATTTGAACCTTACTCTGGCAATCACCTAACTCGAAGGTCGGGTTTATTCCGAATCCGTCATATTACTGGTACTAACGTTACTACTGCCTTCACTGTACTTGAATACTTTCATCTCAAAACTGGAAAGTCCCGACCAAACAAATAACTGTTTGTGATGGTCACTGCACACAATGTGACATCAACTCATTTGCCGTCAAGGCTTTCTTTCTGTTTGAATCTCTCTACTGTACTGGGCCTTGTCGTTTGTGAGGTGGGCCTTGTCTGAAGCGCAATCCTACACAGTTGCGTCGGGCATGCCGCTCTGATCAGGCCCTCGGTCATGTGAGTGATCTTGCCCTCGGTCGCGACGCCCTCGGGGCTACGCCCCTTGGGCGTCGCGACCTCGGGCAAGATCACTCACAGACCTCGGGCCTGATCAGAGCATCATGCCCTCGCAACTGTGTAGGATTATGTATTTCAGACATGGCACGTGCTTGTTGCCAGGAGACGGCCAATGAGCGGCCAGAATAAGCAGTCAAGATCAGTCGATCTTGACCGCTTAGCCGGTCAAGAACAGCAGTCGTACAGCATCGCGCCGCACATGCGCATTTACCATTTTTCGAAGTCCTTGCCTTGGGCAACATCTCCGACGACGAGGACTAAAAATTTGTCTCCCTTCTCCAAAATGATTATATACTCACTACTGTCTTGAACGTCTGCAGGGAGACCAGAAACGCCAACCGACCTTGCAGCTGGTCCTGTTTCTCGCGGCGAAACGTACACAAGGGAAGCAGACCTCCACAAGTACAATGTCATTAATTTTTGTACCTGCCCTAAGGCTGCAGCTTCTCAGCACTCGCATTTGAACCTTACTCTGGCAATCATCTAACTCGAAGAACGGGTTTATTCCGAATCCGTCATATTACTGGTACTAACGTTACTACTGCCTTCACTGTACTTGAATACTTTCATCTCAGAACTGGAAAGTTCCGACCAAACAAATAGCTGTTTGTTATGGTCACTGCACACAATGTGACATCAACTCATTTGCCGTCAAGGCTTTCTTTCTGTTTGAATCTCTCTACTGTACTATACTGGGCCTTGTTGTTTGTGAGGTGGGCCTTGTCCGAAGCGCAATCCTACACAGTTGCGTCGGGCATGCCGCTCTGATCAGGCCCTCGGTCATGTGAGTGATCTTGCCCTCGGTCGCGACGCCCTCGGGGCTACGCCCCTTGGGCGTCGCGACCTCGGGCAAGATCACTCACAGACCTCGGGCCTGATCAGAGCATCATGCCCTCGCAACTGTGTAGGATTATGTATTTCGCCGCTTCCATCGACCTCAGCTCAGAGGAACAAATGATGGTTATTGACGCGTTGAGCGGTCGTGGTGAGTTCTGAACCTGCAAGCATCACCTTTTTTTCCAGTATTCGCAAGCCATGCAGTTGCGAGTTTGTCTCCACATAGGACCTACTGCTCGACTTATCTAGAGACTAGAGCAGACTGCAGGTATACAACACAGTCAATCATGACCATGCAAGTAAACCTGATAGCAAGAGTATGGGGGTTATAATAGCATAACCCCATACTCTTGTAATCGGGTTTACACTGTACTTGCATGGTCATGATTGACTGTGTTGTATACCTGCAGTCTGCTCTAGTCTCTAGATAAGTCAAGCAGTAGGTCCTATGTGGGGACAAAATCGCAACTGCATGGCTTTATACCCTTACTGATACCAAGAGTGGTTATATACTCTAGCTCGTAGTGATACTGTACTCGAAAAAGGCGAAAATCCACACTGAGACAATAGAAAGAGACAGCGATGCCGTTCCTTACAACCAATTACTGGTATGTATCTGATCCCTGGTGATCAGAGACTGAGCGAGTTGAGGTTTGGATGCAAAAAGCAATAAGATAAATTGCAGCATGTATGTAGCGGTACTTTACGCTCCCTGCTACTGATCAGTGAACCGTCATACATGTACCGGTACCTAGTTCTCTGGAAGATTACAGTCATCATACATACTCGATCTGCCCGTATACACGTAGCAGCAAATGAATCACGGAAATCCGGGGGGGGGGATTTATTCCGTGATGCATGTCTCCTCTCGCCATCCTCATGCATGCGCTATTTGTAGTCTTCAAATAATCAGCATTCAGTATAATATGTATAGAACCTGCATACGGATTCATTCTGAAGACAGGCATGTGAAATTGTGAACGTAGGAGCATTCGGCCTTGCACGTGCAGATAAAGACTCTGTGCACTTCAGCCAGCAGCAGTACGCTACGCGGTTATACCCGGCCCACCTTGCTGGGCCTGCATGTGCACATCGCCACATGCAGTACTGTACGCTACCCAAAAAAGCAAGATTTCAATTATAGATGCCGACTTCCTTCAGACACGCAGCTGTTTCGATCAAAAAGACTCTCTATTCCAGTACGCCACTGTGCTTACAAGTTGTGTTTCTAAAACTTGGGTACGAAATGCGTACAAGTGTGCCTTCCCTTCTTCCCTGACGTCATGACTAAAAATAAGAATCTGGTGTCCGCTATCTTCTGGTCAGCCATCAATATCTGACCTTCACTGGTGGGAGCTTTTAGATCAAAAGAGCCATTGAAAGGAATTCAATAACGGTATCTATGAAATCTCCCCTCGGTTGATAGCGCTGTGGCAGGTATGAAAGTTAGCCATAGTGTACCGGTGAACGTGGACAAGGTCGCATTTATTTTCTAAAGCACAAATGCAGCGACTCAATCAACAGTAAATAAAGATAGCCCGTGATCATCTTGACAACCACTTGCAGAGACAGGCAGTGAGCGAAAAGGGAGTAGAAAGCGGCAGCTCTACACCTAGCCAGGACCAGGTTATTGATCCATATGCATGCATACGAGTACACACAAACACGGGGCAGCGTGCACACGTACACACCCACACACGCACGCCAAGTCACGGACTAAATCAACTCAGAGGCTCGGCCAGCATGATCAACACGCAGGCAGTAAACTTAGAAAAAAGAAACATATACACACACGCACACACACACAATATCACAGATATCGGCAGGGACCTAAGAGCATGTACAGAGGAGCTATAAAGGGCAGTCAGCAGGCCTGGAGTTATATACAAGCACGCAGACATACCAACAACACTGACTGAATGACCAGCATATATATATATTATAGGGAAAAAATACAATTACAATGCAACACAGATGTGCACCGGGCAGGCAGGTAGCGGGGCAGGACAATGGAAACAAGGAGCCAGCAAGCGAGTATTTACAACAGCATTTTTACAAATCGGCACAATGACAGTTCTAGAAGATACAGTGAACAAGATCACTCATCTTGTCGTTCCGGAGGTGGGCCGCAGGGTTGAAGCATTTTCTGTGAAAAGAAACAATGAAAGAGAGATCATGGCTTTTAGTCGAGGTTCATCGCATACTGTAAAGTTATGGTAAAATTAACTACCCCTTCACTGCACCAACTCAAGTGACTGCGAGTTGAAAACCAAAAGCTGAGGCACTCCACATCATGGACTATCCCTATAAATAATCGCTCAGAGTGTGAAACTGTAAGGTACAGCAGAAATAATAGAGAGGTTAAGATGCACGTTGTTTCTGACGTGACGCGAATTTTCACGTTAAAATTTGGCGTAAAACTCCAAATTTCGACGCGAGCTGCAGGTGACTGGCGTTGTTTTTCAAGCGAGCCAAATAACGCGAGCTAAACTTTCGTGTCACATCAGAAATAATGTGCATCTTAGCCTCTCTAATCTCTCATCTTGCCTCCCTTTTCTGCACCTTGTCATCTACCACTTACTGAGATGTGGTGAGCCCATAAGAGGGATCATTTCAAAGTCCACCCATAGTTGGGGGATTTCAGGGGGTGTCGGCCGTTAGGCGGTCCAATAGCCAATTAAGTCATCTTTCCAAGATTCCTTTGAGTCTCTCTACCCCTCTTTGGGGAGACTGGCGTGACCAGCAATGGCAGCGAGCAAGTACATTGTGTGTGTGTGTGTGTGTGTGTGTGTGTGTGTGTGTGCCATTGCCCGTCGACCACCCAGAGTACCCTCTGCTGCTAGCTACAGTTGGGCTTGCGGCCGCATGTTCCGTCGAAGCGGCGACTTGAAACGCCATCAATCATTCTGCTATGGACTGGAGAAATAACAATGCGCTATCATTGCTATGCAATGGGCAAGGGCAAGGTGTGTGTGTGTGCGTGCGTGCTCTCAATCAGGGAGAGAGCCTTCAAGCACTGCACGTCCGGTTCATACCTGTAGAAGGTTGAACTTGACACGTGCCTTGCACTCATTCTCAGCGATGGCAAAGAAGCTGAGTAGGTTCTCGTGACCGATGTAGGAGGAATGAGAGTCACGATGCTGGTTCACCATCCACTCACTGGGGAAAGCACAATGCAATACACAAAGATGCACACAATAAACTTAGGACTCGTAAACAAATTTTCAGGCTTGTATGATGGCAGAATGAAGTGAAAGACACCACTGCAGCTGCCATGGATCGACTAAGCGCCAGGCGCGAACTGATGGTGGTGAGAAGGAGAGCTCTGTGCCAGAACTTTGCAGCCTAGAGAGCGTACGTGGGCAGGCGTGTATATACCGCCATATTGCCACGTGTGTCTTTACCACCATATTTATCAACCATTGTAAGATGGCAGATTGGGCTATTCTTGCCCCTCCAACTGCACTGAATGTCGGTATTAGCGGCGGTCACATTTTTCAGTGTTTGATATCCCACACGACTACTGAAGAGGAGGCATGATGCACTTCTCATAACTCACACAACAGAAACTGGACAGGGTACACAAGTTATTTCCTCCGGAAACAAAAAGTTTGCGACTTCCATAATTTACTTCGAAGAACATTCTAAGGAGTTACCGTGCTTAGTAAACTTGGTTGAGTGGACTAAAAACTCTTGAGGACAACGAGTGGGTACGTGTTCACTTGCATACGAAAGAAGTTGGTACCGTTCGCGTATCACATAGAGTCGCCACTGCACAAAACGTCCGAGATCAATTCACCTGAGCCGACAGGTGCATCGAAGTCATGAAGCGTTTGTTTACGGAGGAAGTTAGCCGACGCACATTCGTCCATTACCCAGTTAGTTACATTCATAATGTATCGTAACAAACTAGGAGCAAAGAGAACCAAGTCACTGTAACTTCTCTCTGTAAGAGTTGAATCCCTAACGAGGCACAACGTCTAGCGTTTTAATGAGAAAGAATCCATCAGGCAAGGTCGTGAAATGTTGTGCCAGCTAAGTGGGATTGTTTTGCAAATCGTTACAAAAAACTTGAGACTCGTCACACTTCAACTTGTACAGTACTTATGGGACTCCGAGTGTCACGCTAAGACAATCGACCTTGTTGGCTGATGATCACCTTAGCATGAAACTCGGAGTCCCAACACGTTGGTAGACTCTGTTCCTAGCTTGTGAATGGATCTGCACTGTGTGCACGGTGTGTGCATCGAGCACAATTGAAGTGACAGTGACGCTACCTTTCTGTAATAATGTATTGCCAAGGGGTATCACTTTCTCTTTGGGATATAGTCCAATGTAAAATATTCTTTTAGAACCAGTCACTTGATGATTGCCTAGAGCAAGAAACTCGGAGTAGAGACGAACTCCACCGGACCTTTTGTGTGGATTTATGTATCGCATGTACTGTCTCTGTGTGCACGTAATGCCATAATGCACTCAGCCAACACCACACTACTGTACAGTCAACCGTGTGAATAACGACAGTCGGTCGGGCACGACAAACGTACCGTTAAACATGTGATTTTAGGTGTATTTAAATTTCGGTGTCAGGGAGCTGATGGGTTTCAGCAAGAGTAGATAAACAAGAGTGTGCAACTCCGGATGGATTGGCCCACGGCGGAATTTTTTGTTGACGTAATCTTTTCGACGACGCACGCGCTGCGAGCCTTTTGGAGAGTTTTCCCTCGTGCACTTGGCTGCGCTTTACACTACAAGGTCGGTGCCCAGCACGTGCTCTCACACTGCTCTGCGGCAAAGCCGCGTTTCTCTGAAAAAAGGTGACGTAAACAAAAAATTCCGCCGTGGGCGCGGGGTATCTGCAGATTGTGCAGGAGAGATCCGGAGTTGCACACTCTTGTTTATCTACTCTTGGTTTCAGGTGTATCTTAGAATTAGGCGACCAGCGTTCCCATCGCATACAGGGCACACTCTTGTGCCATTTAGGTGTTGAATATCTAAATTTAGGTGCCTGGTATATCTACCGAAATCAAAATTACACCGAAAATAACCTGTATCACAGTACCGCTATTCACGGATTGTCGTTTACCGCGAGGCTAAACGCCTGCAGTCAATTGTGTACTAGGCTTGAAAGATAGCGTCGCAATTCCCGAGTTGCTGTTATTCACGACGTCGACTGTGACACAGTTGTTCACTGCACAAATTCTAATCGACATCGCAGCGCCAACAGCAATGCCTCTCGGCATACACCATGCCTGGACAAGTTGGCATACACACACGGACTTCGATAAGACCAAATATCTATTCAAGAAGAAATCGCACTCTAATACAGTACTGTCAGGCGTCGAAGAACGAAGAGCCTAGAATTTCACCAAGCTGCATGCATAGTATTGAATACCAATGTAAACACGGTGACTCAACTGTGCATAGACTGTCGCATACATGAACATAACAACGGTCTAGGCTAGGAGGCCGAGTCCCCAGTTCTTCGGCGACCGACAGTACTGTATGCCAACGGGTAACAGAGCTACTTACAACTTGGATGTGTCGCCGTGTCCAGTACCAGCATACTTAGACTGCACTGCAGTACATCAACATAGAGATGAAAAAGACAGAAAGTCATTATGGGGTCAGGTCACAATACGCTTGTGACCTGTGATGTCAGAAACGTCGGTTGCGTGACGAGCCAACCCAGGACAGGAGAGAGTAAACATGTGTGTGCACGTGAGTGTGCGTGTTTGTGCGTGCGTGTGTTAACTGCTATCGACAGCTACACTCTTCATCGTTCACTGGAAAAAAAAGAAAAGCCAACAACGCAGAAAATCTTGGGTCTGCGGAATCGCGCTTATCCCGTGGGGACAGACAATTGGTGTCTTGCGTATAGCCCGATCACCAACTTGTTATTGAAAAGAATGTGAGTGGAAATGAGCAGGGACTTGCTGGATTTCTCACACAGGTTGTCGCACACGGGCATGTGCAGCGTGTGGTCGTCGATGGGTTTCCCATACCAACAGCGGGCTTTGGTGGCAAGTCAAAGCCCGCTCTATGAAGCACATACTTATTTGGTCGCAGCCTAGCAAGGGGCACGTCAATCGTTTGAAATGGAAGTTCAGTAAGTCTTTGGGCGACCGAGCTCTTCTTGCACTCCATCCACTCATCATCGAACGTTGCAAGTCTTGTGCTTCATTTTTTTCTTTGTAAAAATAGCCCTCCCCCTCCCAAAAAACGTTGACCTGTGAATCCAAGGATGTATACAATCATGTACATGTATCTTGTGGCAACAACTACACCTAATAAAAACACATAAGAGGGCAGAATTGGGATGTAAGTACATGTACAGAGTAACTTACGATGCTCAAGTTGACTGTGGATGTTATAGCGATCGCCCTGTAAGATGGCAAACACAAACAAGTTCACGAGATCATCACGAGAAAAAAATGATATCCTCGGCAGCTTCGTGGAAGCAAGCATACCATTCTCACGATCCGAATTGAGCTTCTGGAAATAGCTGTATGGTGTTCCTTCGCTCCAAACTCTACTCGATCGACTCGACTCCACTTCTTTGCCAAAATTATTTTCTCAAATCTTTGTGACAAAAAAAGCATAACGACGTCGCGCGCGACGTCATGTCAGTCGAGTCGAGTACGATCGCATCACCATGGTCACATCGAGGTTTCGAGCGCAAAATTTTACCATCACCGCATCTTGACTCCGCACGCACACATCGTCAATTTTGCTTGGCGCCATATTTGTTGCCATGGTGCCTTTTGTGACAAGCCATTTCTAATAAAACTGCGCGTGCGCAAGAAAACTACCTCTCACACTTCTTCTCTCTCAGAGAAAAGAAGACAAGATGCGTGCCAAGTGGAAGAAGAAGCGTGTACGCCGCCTAAAGCGCAAGAGAAGAAAGATGCGCGCACGTAGCAAGTAAACTGGTGGATTGTGACCTGCCTACTGGATCTGGTGTGGAGATTCCGTCTTCTACGCTATGGCTGTGACGCTATCAACACCTATCGCTGAGCCTCGTGTAATTTCAAGGTGATTTGGCGACTTCACTCGTACGCCGATCTACTACGAAGCATTGAGCTGCTGTGAAGCCATCAACCAAGTCGCCAAGTGTTGAGAACTGTGAGGAGTTTATTTCTCTTTCGCTTTGCTTGCATTCAAGAATTTGCATGGATCTTTTAGTGTATTTCATTATCGGAACTAGTTCCATTCTTTGTCAACATCTCGATGCATTGCTGTACTTCTGTAATGGCATTGCTCGATCCTTCTGTAGCATCAATTCCATCTTAAGATGCAAGACTTTCGTCTGAGACAAATGAGCTTTGTAGTTCTTTTTTGTCTGGGTGCCTGCGATCGTGTGGTGTGTTACATGCGTTTGTCTGGCTTTTAGTGATTCTGTAGTGTGCATTGTTGAAGCAATGCACACTGTAAAAAAGAGTCCAGGTTTCCCTACAATCAGTATCACTTGTTTGTCTTTTGTGCATGTTTATTGTTAGACTTGGTAGTTTGCATGAGGGGTACGGGTCTAGTATTGATTTTTTACCGAACGAGGATGCATTGTGCTAGAAAAATTATTTTCCAACCGTGGTTGCGCAGAATTTCTACAAAATAATGAGAAGATGAGATGTATGCGATAATCTACACATCATTCGCTAATAATACTAGTAGGTAGAATAACTACCCACCGGTACTGACTTTGACTGGATTGTACTGAATTTTGTTGTTGGGTCTGGGAGAAGCCTTGCATTACAATTATTTACTGGTCTCGGAAAGCCCTTCTGACCATTTTTTCTTTTTACCAGTACATGTTGGCTCTTTTGGCAGTAGTAGTAGTTGTCGTGATTTCCATCAAGCTGTTATTGACGGATAACATGGCTGATGCATCGATGATAGAGTCTGCATCAACAGCTTTTGTGGTCTTGAATTTGATACTAGATGTACCAGGAATCAGTGGTTCCTACTCTTATGCATGTAGTAATAGTAGTAGAGATGAAATGATGTGAACGTGATAATATTCTTGCGAATTGCGTTTGTGACATACATTAAATTTTCTGGGTTTTCATTAATTTTTATTGATCCCAAAATGGAAAATAATTATTGCTTCTTCAAAAGTGTTCTGAACTAACGTTATAATTATTACTTCTCTCCCTAGGCTATACAGCCCCTTGCATTGCTTGATTCCGAAAGAAGTTTGCAAGATAGAACAACCAATGCAACCAGTTGGCAGCCAGTAGTAAGTAAATGATTATGTAGCGGTACAGCCACCCTCGATTCGTAGACTCAAGTACAAGCAAGAGTCCATAACCCAGGTTATAACTTATGGACTCTTGTCTTGGTACAAGTCAAGAGAACATGACAATAAATTTTTCCTCCCATTTTATGGCGCCTATGACATCACAGCTCACAATGATTTTGAAATGCGAAAAAATACATTTAGAGTCAGTGTACACTGTATATTGATTCTTGATGCATGAAGCAGTGACGAACGTCGAACGCAGTTGCATTTCATGAATACATGCATGCAAGCTGCATGATACAAACTCTCCAGACTACTGATTTCCGAAGGACATGACGGTGAATACTTTGGATATTGTTTGTTGCCAAAATGCTGCGTCTTGCTAGCTTGTCGACGCGCTCCTCTACGAAGGTAAGAAAAGAAACTGAGTGAAAATTTATGTTGTAGATGTCATACGTCACACATCTGTCAAAACAACTAAACTTACTTCACTAATACTTGAGGTTTGATTGTTATCTCACCAAGTGCTAGTGCATGTATTCGGTTCTATATACATGTATTTGCAGAATAGTGAATCTCAAAGAAACAATGACAAGCTTGCAATGGCTGCTTTGTACACCCTACGTGTTGATTCGCATGTCGCCGGTTCGCACCGGGACCGGACCGTGACGTAACACGTGCCGTCTCTCCTGGTTAGGTGGCATGCATGTTCACTTAATGCAGTTGCACTCAGTGAAATCCGACCTAAAGCGCAACAACACTGGCGCCCTGGACCAGTTCTGTTTACGTCACTGTTCTAAGTGTTCGTGTACATGCGTACGTCCAGTCGCTTTTCGGATCGTACCACTTCCAGGGCGTCAAGGGCCGTGCAAGTTGAGGGCGCCAGATATGCACTCTGGGTCGGATTTCACCAAGCACAACTGTAATATGTGAGCCAGGGCAATGCGGGCAGAGATATGACACGCTAAATCAGAATACAATGCACCGCATCGCAACATTGTGAATTTGTGAAGATAATAACACGCCATATCACCGGAGATCAGAGCCGGAGCGGGACAATGTTTCACTGTGCCGGCCTGCCTTTGCAGTCTGCACCACCAGTGCAGTGCCGTGCTCCTTTCACCCAGTTACGGCTACAGGTCATGGCACCCAGGTTCTGCACTCCTTATTTGGCATTGAAAAAGACGTATATATACGTCCTCAGCGCCTGGGCGTCATTTTCAATGACGTATATAATTCTGCATCTTTCGCGCTGAATGGGTTAAGTGGAAGTGATATCTGCACCGTGACATGCCGGTGATTACTGGTCGGATGACGCAGACTTTGTCGAAACTTCAAGCCTAGACACATTCCACAATATTATTTCCACATTTCAGTGACAGTAGGCCACCCGAATTTGCTTACGCGTGCGCATGTGTGTGTGTGCCATCTCTAGTGTATAACTCGATTGTGTTTTGTTACTTTTGTATGCTCTGTGTGTGTTGCTCAGAGCATGACCAATCCTCGCATCTCTCGGCAGCTATGCCGCATGCACGGGACCAAGAAACGTAAGTGCATGCGCCCTGTGTGTGTGTGTGTGTTTGCGTGTTTGTGTGTGTTCGTGAATGGTATTAATCTTGAGCCAGTGAGCATATCTGAAGAGAATGATGTGTCATGTCCATTCTGCTTGTGGTGTATTTCCGAGTTCTGGACGGTTCTGAGATGCGGATACCATCTGGTACCGGGGCGCACGGATAAGACGTATTCTACTGTATATGTATATGTGTGTGTGTATGTGTGTGTATGTGTGTGTATGTGTGTGTATGTGTATGTTTGTGTGCGTGTATGTATGTGTGTGTGTGTGTGTGTGTGTTCATGCCTTCATTCACGTACCTGCATGCATACAGATTATGAACCCGTTCCACCACTACCCGTACCACCACTAAGTCAATCTCTCGAACGCTATGTCAATGCATTGAAACCACTTATCCCCGACGAAGAATCGCTGAGAAAAACTGAAGGTAAGTGTACAGTGTTTCAGGGAGCTCACTCTCTTCTTTTTTTCTTTTTCTTTTTATAGGTGATCACCTTTTCTGGAAGGCAATGAAACCAGGGTGAAGGTTGTTGTTTTCTGTAATAGTCATGCGCTGTGGGAAGTAGCAGGGTGGTCAGAACAGTGCCCAGCCCTCACACCAACAGCACACATTATCTACTACAGTAAAATGCTGTGTTTCGAAGTGATAGGCTTGGTTTGTGGCCGGTTTGGGACGTTTCTCGTAGACAACCTTGGGCGAAAGTGTTTATGACTTGGCCTGCAAGCCTGAACTAGTCTGACGGCCATGATGTATGTAACCCTGGCCAAGCTAGCCAGCAGTGCACGGTGACGATGTTGTGCATGTTCCCATGCGCGGTCTCTGCGGAGGTTGCGCGATTACATCATCAGCTGAAATGTTTTTGGCAAAGAAGTCGCAGCTGGCTCTGCTTTTCACAAGTACTGGATGTCACTAAGATCACTCCTTGTCTGGTCACTCACTGTCACAGCCGGTACCCACAAGGACTCCCACATATAGACACTTCCATACAGCCCAATATGCTGTGCTGTAGCCTTATTGTAGATTTGTACCAGATGATTTCATAGTGCATGCAGCTCAGAGTTCAGTTGCAAATGAATTCTGGGTAGATTTGTTTGTTTCCCTGTAGGTGTGCTAGTATTATGCTCTGTTGAAAATGTTGAGCACTCTTATGCAGTAGATCGCTACCTACTTTCGCAAAATGAGGTACCGTATATTCACTATTATAAGCACCGTGCTTATATTTTTTCAACACCCCTCTACCCCGTGCTTATACTGGAGACCGCGCTTATATTGGAGACCGTGCTTATATTTTTTCAACCAATACATCCATACAGAGCAAGAAGAAATACATGCTAGATACCATGCATGCCGCATTGATTTCCAACAAGACCGTGCTAATAATAGAGACCGTGCTTATAATGTTTCGAAAGGTGCTCACAGTGTGCTAGTATTAGAGACTGTGCTAGTAATAGAGACCTGTGCTTGTAATAGAGAATATACGGTATGTGTGTGGCGGCCTCGCTGCATGACGTCAGCTCTCTCACTAGTTACACGCGTGCGCCTGAAACATGTCTTCCTCTTTGTTCGAAAATAAACAACAACGACTGTCAGACAAAGTTGCCCTCTCCTCGGAGTTGTACTTATTAGGCCCCAGGACGGTATGTCCCTGGACTCATCTGTCTCCACGTGAACAGATACGACCTCTGCCATCTTGGTTGTCTAAACACATACGTGTACATATACATGGACCTCAATATGGAGACATGCTAGTCTCGAGTCTGCTGAGTTTTGTTTTTGTTGAGTAACGGTTGGTTGAATATCTTGATGTCTGTGTTCGTCTTCCTTTCCACAGCCCTCGTGAGAGAGTTTGGTGCCGACAATGGTGAGGGGCCGAAGCTACAGAGCTTGCTGCTGAAGCATGCCGAGGGCAAGGACAACTGGGTGAGAGTGGGTGCTTTCAGTCCAGGTAGTGCTGTACTGAAGCTCTTAACTTAATGTGTGTGTGTGTGTGTGTGTGTGTGTGTATGTGTGTCCGTGTGTCCCATATGGTGCAGTGGTATGTGCAGTCGATTTCCAATCGAGAGGTTGCGGGTTCAATTCCCGACGATTATGGTCGCACACGTCTTTCTTCTCTTTCTCGGTCTCTTCCTGACTTTTCTTTCATTCTCCTGGGTGGTTACCAACAGCCAGTGTATGCCGGAGTATGTGGTGTGGTGTTTGTGTAGAAAAAAGAAAAAAGAAAAAAATGGAAAAATGAAAAATAGGGATTCACTGGCCAGAAAAAGTCACTTCAATCAGCTGTGTGGTGGATACCAGGCTAAAAATAGTGGCGGTCAATTCATCAGCCTTGCAAGCTGTTGAATGGTGGAATCCCAGCACAAGTTGCTATGTCTAACATAGCTGTTCGCTATCATCGCTTCCGCGATGGGCAGGTCTGAGGTCTGAGGTGTATGTGTGTGTGTGCGCGCATGCGCGCGTGTGGTGTTGGTGTGTATGCGTGCATGTGTGTGTGTGTGTGTGTGCGCGCGTATGTGCATGTGTGTGCACATGCACATCCCTGTGCGTGTGTGCACGTGCATGCGTACACGTCAGATTGCAGTCAGCATAACTACAGCACTGGCCAATGAAACGTGGAGTCAGCCAGGGCCCAAAACGCGAGGGTTTGTACAGCTTTGGCCAGCGTACGCATGCCTCTAAGCCACCCAGGGACTCTCACTTTAGTCGTTTGCCCAGATCTCTGCGACAGTCGCTGCACAATGTACAGTATGCATGACCCACTGTACATGTACAGGAATGCCATGTCGGGGAGGCAAATGTGCTTGCTGTTGCAGCTGATGAGGAACACAAGTGGACCCGTGTGAGAACCGGGGAAAATGTTTGTTTGTTTTTTGTTGCTTTCGTGTTTCTTGTCTTGCAGCTGACCGACTGGTGGCTTGATGTAGCATACTTGACATTCCGTGAGGGCAATCCCATCAATGTCAGTCCAGCCATCGCTTTCCCGCGTGCACAGAACATACTGACACAGGATGATCAACTGCAGTGAGTATTAGCCTGCCGGTGGGTTGGCGTCCGGGGTTGTGTGTGTGTGGGGGGGGGGGGGGGGGCGTGTGTGTGTGTGTGTGTGTGAGAGAGAGAGAGAGAGAGAGAGAGAGAGAGAGAGAGAGAGAGAGAGAGAGAGAGAGAGAGAGAGAGATGGGGTTTGCTGTGCAGGCAGGTGCATATCTGATTATTCTGTGGGCTAAGCAACACTGATTACCTGATACACAGCACATGTGCTACTGCAGAATTCATATTTGGGCCAAACTGGCTAAATGTTTGTTTCACTAGTCTTGATGTACATGTAATGTCCTCCACAGAAGCATTATTGTAATGGAGTATCCCGAGAGACATGTTGAATCGTATTGTTGATTTGTGATGTGTTTTGTGCTCTTCTGTCACTACCACAGGTATGCAGCGAAGATCGCTCATCATGCCGTCAACTTCCGCAATCTTATCATGTCGTACGTAGTGAATGATCATGTGGGTGACGTCTCTGCGTTCGGTTTTCTCTCTTTCTCTGCAGTCTATGCATGCACACGCATGCACGCACAGACGCACGCTCGCGCACACACACACACAAACACTTGCACACAAACTCTCTCCCTCTCCATCCCATCCATCCATTCACCGACCAAACTTGACGTGTCAGATACTTGTAGATCGATTTTTCCCCCTCTTGAAATCCAGCTGTTCCAATGGCAAATTGTACTTCACTGTTTGCAACACGAAATTGTGATATGATGGTCTGCTACAGGGCTACTTTATCGCACGCGCTTTGGAAACCGGCAATCTCAGCTTTGTTCCGAGTAGTCTTTTTCCGTCTGCCTCAATCCTTGGGGGTGGTGGCGTTCCTACGGACGCGGAAAACTGGGCCTCCAGCCAAGTCTCGCGCGAAACGTGAATTTTTTCGTCCTTCTGTGTTCTCGTCTTCTTCTCCCGTCGTTGCAGCAAGACACTCACACAGGAGGGTGCCGGAAAGATGCACTTCTGCATGTCGCAGTACGACAATCTGTTTGGCACGGCCCGCGTGCCTCTGGCCGGCAAGGACGGGCAAACACTACTCGCTAAGGATCCCAAGCATCGGCAGCACATCATCGTTGCCCATAACAACTCGGTGAGTAGGACTAGCAAAGGAGAGGGGGGACTTGATGAAGATAAGAAAAGATGACATTGAAACTCGGATGTTGAGCCAGTAGTATTTTGATAAAATAAAAAAGGACCAATACGTGACAAGTTATGACTAACAGTCCACCAAGGTAACGAGATATTAATATTTTACAGTCAGATGGTGTGACAGCAAGGCACACGACTGAATGGCATTGTAAATTATTATACAAAACGCCACCTTGATCAAATTGATGTTCGAGGGAGGGAAGGGGAGTGGAGTGGTGAAGGGGAGGCTATACATGGGAAGAGCTCGGGATAACAGTCTTAGAAAGCTCCAAACTAACAAGCTTGGGAGAGATTTGCGAGTGCGGGAAGCCGCACTGAACTTGTCGTAGTGCGCCGTCTGAAAACATAAATGATAATGCTCTGGTGTATGGAGTTCAGCGGTTGAGTATCATTGGAAGAGGCTGAAGAACATAATATGACTTGAGTCATATTGAACACGGCCTCCAAGTCTAACAGATACTGTGGCAGAGAAGACCCTGTTTTGCATGATCAGCTGTGAACTTGAGGTGTTCAGCTCTTTCAGTTATTTACTCACTCTGAACGTCTCTCTCTCTCTCTCTCCCTCTCTCTCTCTCTCTCTCTCTCTCTCTCTCTCTCTCTCTCTCTCTCTCTCTCTCTCTCTCTCTCTCTCTCTCTCTCTCTCTCTCCCTCTCTCTCTCTCTCTCTCTCTCTCTCTTTCATTTTTCTTCCCTCACCAGTTCTTCATCGTTCCGATCTGTCATGAGGACGGACGGCCAATGTCATCAGCACAGATCTACGCCTCTCTGCAGCAGGTGGTCAGTGAGTCACCACGTACAGAGGTGCCAGATGTGCACCAGTCCATTGGTCTGCTGAGCTCCGAGCATCGCGACACATGGGCGGGCGCTTACGACAGCATCATCAAGCATGGTGAGAGCTTGGTGGAAAGTGTGGGCGTGCGTAGCAGTACGAAAGGTGGTGGTGGTGGTGGTGGTGGTGGTGGTGGTGTGTGTGTGTGTGTGTGTGTGTGTGTGTGTGTGTGTGTGTGTGTGTGTGTGTGTGTGTGTGTGTGTATGCCGGAGTATGTGGTGTGGTGTGTGTGTAGAAAAAAATGGAAAAAATGAAAAATAGGGATTCACTGGCCAGAAAAAGTCACTTCAAACAGCTGTGTGGTGGATACCAGGCTAAAAATAGTGGCGGTCAATTCATCAGCCTTGCAAGCTGTTGAATGGTGTAATCCCAGCACAAGTTGCTATGTCTAACATAGCTGTTCGCTATCATCGCTTCCGCGATGGGCATGTCTGAGGTCTGAGGTGTGTGTGCGGTGTGTGTATGTTTGTGTATCTGTATATTATGTGTCTGTGTGTTTCGAATACTGTTGAATCCAGCGAGATGGTGTAAATATACTACTGCAGTGTAATTCATGTTCAACTGACATGGTGTGCAGTACTGCAGCAAAATATTTCAGTTCATTGGCCGCATCTGCTTGTGTTATTTGGTCTTAGCCATCTGAACGAACCATTATTGGTTTGAGTTTGTTCCAGCTGTTGGTCTTCAAAAACGGTCATGTAGCTCCGGTCTCCTTGCAAACCGTTTTTTTTTCGTCTCTTGCAGACCCGCAGAATCGCCAGAACTTCGAGGCCATCCAGAACTCTCTGTTCCTTGTGGCGCTCGATCAGGACAATCCGGGACTGCCGACCGTTGGCGAACCGGAGAATCGCTCGCCGTTCGTACACGAGGGCCGTACGAGGCTTGCCGAGCGAGGTCTGCACGGTGGTGGAACGCACGCCAACAGCGGTAACCGATGGTTTGACAAGACCCTGCAGGTATGTTAGGTGTGTTCCACCGCGAATAACGCCGGTTGGAGCTCATGGGTAGATTCTTGTTTGTTTAGATGTGTTGTTCTATTGATGACAAAACCCTGCAGGTATGTTGTGTGTGTTCTCCACGAACAATGCTGGCTGAGCGAAGGAGTAGATTCTTGTTTACTTAGATGTGTTTTTGTCTTGCTGGTGTGTTGCGTTTCACTGAGCTGTTTTGCAAATCCAACTAGGTTTGTGTGTGTGTGGGGGGGGGGGGGGGGGTGTAAGAGGAGGGGTGATGACTGTGTGTGCTACCGTAACAGTATACATATGTAATCAGTGATCACACAATTATCTTTGTGTCTGTATGTGCTCTCCACTCCAGTTCTTTGTGTCGTCTGACGGCGGAGCTGGTTGCATCATCGAGCACTGTGCAGCCGAGGGCCCAGCCGTTGTTCGTCTCACTGACTACTGCATATCCATGATTGAGTAAGGCTTGGTTCAGACTAGTACCTGGTCAAGAGCCATGCACTAGTGCTTCCTTAAACTTGTTGTTGGTTGACAGCATGTAACAAGGTGGAGGACACTGTGTTCGGAAACAGTGACCTTTCTACATCCATCCACGGTTGGTAGAGCCATCTTTTTACATGCTGTCAACCAACACCATGCTTGAACAAAACAAGGTTTATCTAATCCCCTGTACTTCTATTGCAGTCACTAGATAATTTCTGATGAATCCCTACAGAGGTCGGCTCCGTGTCCAGTGTGAAACATTTATTAAAATGTGTGCTGGGTAGCAGAGGCCTCATCGGCCAACCCAGAGGAAGCTGTCGGAATACCTGTGGTCAAAGACTGAAAAGTCCCATTCGCGGCATGACATTTGAAGGGACGGGAATTGGAAATTTGGCAACACACATAGTTTCGATGGACGCAACAGAAGGTTGTGATGTTGTGCGGCGGCAGTGGATAACTCTCTCTCTCTCTCTATCTATCTATCTCTCTCTCTCTCTCTCTCTGCCTCCATGTTGGCAGGAAGGACACAGATCGGCTGAGACCTGACCCTGACTTGCCACACGACGTACCACGCGTGGAGAAGCTGTCCTGGAAGCTGTCAAAGGAGCACGGAGAGACGATTATCCAGGCGGGCCGCAACTTCAATGCGTAAGTTCCTTTCTGGTTTGAGGGAAAGAGACAAACGGGAAAAGTCTGAAGAAAAAATTGACTGTCACCACCAGGACTCGAACCAGGGACACTCGCTTGTAGCCAGCGATGCTCTAACCACTGAGCTATGGTGTAGTCGTCATCCCAGCAGAGACCGTTCAACATTTTCTTCAGACTTCGTAACTCACACTTCCTGTGAATCCACACAGGCGGACAAGTTCTTTTCTGTGCAGCCAGGCTAGCACTGCGTCCCTGCTTTCCCCGGGCATTGCTCTTTCAGTGCTGACCCTAGTAGGACAATGGCTGCAAGGTAGATGTGCCTCTATCCTTGTCATAGATATTCCTCCGAGTCCTTTTTGTGTGTGTATCCGTATAAAGTCCGTAAGTCCGAGGGACTGAAAAGGGAAACGTCTGGAGAATGAATTGACTGCCACCACCCGGACTCCAACCTGGGACCTTCTCCAGAGGACAGCAATGCTCTATGGTGTAGTTATCATCCAAGCAGCGACTGTTCCACACTTTCTTCAGTTCAGACTTCGAAACTCATTTTGTTTTTGCTTGTTTTTGTTGTTTGTTTCTATTCTGCTAAACTGTCTGCAGTCAGATTGAACGGCTGGACCTGAAGAGCTGTGAGATGAGTCGCTTCGGCAAGGAGGCTATCAAGGCAGGTCGCCTGAGTCCGGACGCTTTCATCCAGGTCTCCTTCCAGCTAGCATACTACCGGTAAGAACTTGCCACAGGACGAACTTCAAGTAGTGACCATTGACAACCGAAATGAACACTGCAAGTGGTAGTTTCTTGTCAAGCTTTTGTCTTCAATCTTACCAAGAGTATATAACCCCCCAGAGTGTGCATCATCTGATCCAGCTCTGCATAGGGTCTTGGTCGAGCGTAATCGGATCGTTGCGTCATAGTACCGTACACATCTGAGGGGAACCCGGGGAGTCGCGGGGACTCTCGGATCAAAAATAACGATGCCCTGCATCGAGCCTGGCCTTGTGCTGGTGTGGAGTGTACGCATGACATCAGAAGATCCGACTACGCTCGACCAAGACCCTATGCAGAGCTGGATCAGGCGTTGCACACTCTGGGGCGTTATGTACTCTTGATCTTACACTTCAATTGAGCGTTCTATCTATTGCCGAATTTGGGTTGTCTTTTTTCTTTGGCTCTTACTTTATTGGCTTTGTGAATAAAGTTCAAGAAACCCATTCTCAAGCACTGCGAATGGGAGTTTTGAATCGTGCTGGGAGAACTCGTGAATATTGCACCCGCTATGGACGCCTGCTCGCGAAAGGGCAAAGTCGTGCCAGCGTGATTCGTTGTTGCCCAAGAATACACCTGGCTTTCATGAGTATTTTTCCATTGATTTTTGCAGACGTTGTACGGAATTGTTTCTCTCGTGTTGTATTGTGCTTGTGCAGGATGTATGGTTGCAATGCTCCCACGTATGAGAGTGGTTCCATCCGGCGCTACAGTCGTGGTCGTACGGAAACGATACGCTCGGCTTCGGTTGCGTCTGATGCGTTTGCTCGTGCATGTGCCAAAACTGACGATGTGGTGAGGAATACCGTATATTCTCTATTATAAGCACAGGTCTCCAATATAAGCACGGGGTAGAGGGGTGTTGAAAAAATATAAGCACGGCGCTTATAATAGAGAATATACAGTACGTGGATGGTGATGATAGCAGTGTATAGGGGATCAGCACTCTGGTGGAAATCTGGGTACAGGTCAGACCTCGCTATAACGACCCCCGCTATAACATAAACCTCACTATAACGTACAAATGTGAATGTCCCTGCCGAAACCGCATCACTTCTGTGCAAACTCTCCTCGCTATAGCGTAATGTTCGCTATAACGCACTGTTTGGTGGGTCCCAGGCGCACGGAGACCTCAGCATAACGTAAAAACTCGTATAGAAATGACTATGTACACGGCATGCATGCCTTCTCGCGACGAATTCGAGACTGAACCGTCCACCTCGGAAGCAGGGAGTAGTAAAATACCGGTATTTTACTACTCCCATTACTTTTGTAGGCTCTTCTTGTCACATGTACAAGTACACGCACTACATGGCTCTTGTCACCCCTTTGCTGACAAGCCTGTACACATGTACACATCTTTGCTAGTCATCATCATACCTGTATGTAAAACAGTACGGTCGTAATCAGTAGGTGAAGAGCGTCATTTTGACATACATGTACATATTGCATATTGGTGTGCCCAACTCACTATAACATAAACCTCGCTATAACATAATTTCTCCCATCCCCAGAGATTACGTTATAGCGAGGTCTGACCTGTACTGGGTTGGCATGGCTATTACTGTGTGTGTGTGTGGGGGGGGGGGGTAGTAGTAGTAAGCATGAACGGTGCAGGGGAATGGGTACTAATAGTACCCATTTTTGCGGTGAAATTTATTTTTGACCCGGTTTTTACTACGGGGGGGGGGGGTACGGGTGGTCGTGCGAGGGAGCGTGTGTCTGTGTGTGCGCGCATTTATGGTTTGAGCTTCACACTCTAACCAATCATCAGGCAACAGCTAGAGTGTGGAACTTAGAGCTGTAACCGTTTTCTGCTCTCCCTGATCTATGTACAAGTTCTGTCTGACGGTGTCAAGAAGGCACTCTTTAGTCAGTGGGTACTTCAGTTGTGTTAGCGTGTGTATTGACGTGTGCTCCACGGTATTCTGATGCCCATGTTGCCCTGTTTGTGCTGTCCCTTCTGCAGTCCGTGGAGAAAGCAGAGCTGTTACGTCAGGCTGTGCTGGCACACTCAGAGTACTCTAAATGGGTAAGTTCTACACAGTCGGGCGCCGGCTAACAAGTTAGTGAAATCCAGCTCCAACTCTTGGGAGTTTTGTACTCTTGATATGACCAAGAGTACATAACCCCCAAGAGTGTGCAGCTGCCTGCACAACCACTATGCTGTGCTGCGACAGCAGAACTTCACATCACGTGACATGGTTCAAAAGGTTACACTGGCAACCAGTCCAAAGTGACCACAAGAGAGTTGTACCCAAAGCTGGGTTGCGTACAGCCCTGTATCAATCATGCACAGAGTGCAAATAATGTGTACGGGTTCATCACGTGATGTGAAGTTCTGCCGGTCCAGAGTCCAGACCCCATAGCTGGAGTTGCACACTCTCGGGGTTGTGTACTCTTGATATGACCAATGACCAATCTCAGGTAGTCTTTGGTTACGGTGGCCGGTGTAAATTGTAGGCTTTTCTGTGTTCCTCGTTGTCTGCATTGTAGGCTGTCTTTGGGCAAGGATTTGATCGTCATCTGCTCGGCCTTCGTCTGATTGCCAAGGAGAACGGTATTCCAATGCCGCCTGTTTTCGAGGATCCCAACTATTGGGAGAGCCTGAACTTCCGCCTGTCTACTAGCCAGGTAAGAAAGTTTGTGGTGGCTGTGGCCGTGTGGTTGTGTGTCTCTGCGAGGGTGGTGCCAGGGATGTGTAGGTACGGGAGGGAGAGTTTAGTGACTCATTTTTGCTGTACCTTTGTGTGTGTTTGTGTGTGTGTGTGTATGTGTATGTGTGTACACACGTGTCTGTGCATAGGTGCCGTCGGCACACGAGAGTTTCTTGTCGTTCGGCCCGGTGGTTCTGGACGGCTACGGCCTGTGTTACAACCCGCGCCCAAACTCCGTTCTGATGACCATCTCGTCGTTCCGAGACTGTCCAACAACGGACACACAGACGTTCGCCGAACACCTCGAACAATCGATGTTATTCATGCAGCGTCTTCTACCACTGGTGCCCAAGCCATCCAAGCTCTAAACTGAGTCCCCGTGGTGTTCATGTGTGTACTCCATGCGCACCGTTGTACGCTGTGTTCGTATGGTCATACTTCGTATTGGGAGTGAGTGAAGGCGACGTGGCGTTATCGTGTGAAGACGACGCCATACACATGGGATTGCGCTGTCGATTTAGAACGTGCCAGCGTCTCTGCTACATGCATTGGTTGCGTTGATGGCTGGACCTGACCGGACGTCTTTCTCTTGTTGCTGTTTGTTTTAGCCTAGCGCTGTCCCAACCTTGCATTCGCCCTGCACGTATGCAAGGTTTCATTATGAGTATACGTGTAATAGTAGTTATTGTTCATACCTATACAGCTCCAGGTGCTTGCTTCCGTTGATTTGCTGATGTGCCATCGCTCGATTTTCCTTCTACTGCACGCTGCCTCTACATGACGATAGACGGGAGCACAATGTGACACGCACGCACACACGCGCACACACACACACACACACACACACACACACACACACACACACACACACACACACACACACACATATACACACACACATGCACAAGATTCAAGCATTGCTCCCGACTTACAAATCCAATGGCACGTGCCAGAAACCGTCCTTATTACCAAAGGTACATGAACTGTATAGGCAGCATATCCTATGCATGTATGTAACATGATTAGACGTATTTTCCTTCCATACTAGTAATCATCAATGGCCTTTTGTAGGTTCAGAACTAAATTTCCATTTATGATCAATTTCTTGAGAATTCCTCTCCTCGCATCTTGGACTTGTATCCACTGTACTATAACTGTTAGCTTCTTGGCATTGATTGCGTTCTGATTTTCCTCTCCCCGTATGTTTCTACTTTGACTTCCCATGCTGCATTTCTATTTGCGCTGATCGCTGCTGCTGCTGCTGCTGCTGCTGCTGCTGCTGCTGCTGCTGCTGCTGCTATTCTTTTGCTCTGTATGTACATGTATGAACATTACATTTTGTTGAGTTCCCCGGCACGCTCTCTCTCGCGATTGACTTACACTAACTTACTTATCCATAATCTCTATGTGCATGTCCTTCGAAGCATCCCTTGTTCTCATCCTCGTGCAGTCAATAGTCTACCGGTATGCTGTGCTCTCCCATCAGTCGGCCTACATGCGGTGCACTCGATAGCACGGACAGAATGGTACCTTGGTGTGGCTACTGGTACTATCGATGCTGGTGGTGGCAGTGCGTGTGTGTGTGTTTGTGTGCGTGTGTGTGTGCGTGTGTGTGTGTGTGCGTGTGTGTGTGTGTGTGTGTGTGTGTGTGTGTGTGTGTGTGTGCGTGTGTGTACATGGTGTGTGTGTGTGCGTGCATGTGTGTGCATGTGTGTGTGTGTGCACAGGCGCGTGTGCGAAGTGATTTTACCCAGGGTTTGTACCAAGTTATCAGGTTTGCGTCTGGTCTTCATCTGAGAGGTGCATTGTGTTTTTCACTCGCGGCGACTCAGTTCTATAGACATGCACTTGGATGATGAGGTTACGCAATAATCTATTGTGTTTATCAGGAAGTAAATTCTGCATGCACGTGCCAGGCCACCGCCATGCCTAACAGATACATGTACTAAGTCTTGTACCCTAGGTATACTGGTAAGTGGTAGCAGTGCGAGCTACCGTTATACCGTTGAAGGTGTGTGCCTTACTAGCGTCACATACAATAACATACCTGAGATCCACATACGGTCATTGGACGACGATGATGCCAAAAGAACTGAACAAGAGTGAGTATACATGAAACCCATCTGTACTAGAGTCGAGGCTACACAATACAGTCATGTTATTACATGATTGTATAGCCTATGACTATGTATAGCCTAGTAATATTATTTTAGGCAACAGTAGATCTAAAAGAAAGGTTTTCATGACTGTTCTTGATTTCGGGCATTTGACGGTCACCATGGGAACTGACTACCTAGGTTTCACAAAATTTTTGACAAAATGCGTTATTTCTATGAAATTATAGTCTTTTAGATCTGTACACAATCATGCGATATGTGCGGCTATCTGATTGTACAAAGCTGGACAAGGCCTAAGCCTAAGGCCGAGTAGGAACGAAAGTCAAGGTGAGGTAAAGAAATGAGAGAGAGTTAGTCCCCAACTCACTAATCACCACGTACCTCTAGTGTTCACGAGCCTCGAGAAGCCGTTATCCGCTGCTGCTACTGCTACTACTACTAGTGGCTTGGCACAACAGCAGCTAATCCAAACACGTTGGCTATAAAGTAGTTGTGAAGCTTAGTACTGGACACGGTTGTTGTGCTGATTCAACGCAGTCCGACTGAAACTGCCAGGCGGCTGGTAGAACGCGAGGCTGCCGACTCCACAGCACTCACCAGCTCAACTACTGCCGCCACTACCGAAACACAGTTTCCAGTTACACCTCGAGTGCTGCCCAATCCCATTTCTCTCACTGAACGAAGGAAGCGGAGAGCTGCTTCAAACTCGAGCGCTTGCAAAAACGCCTCAAGTCTTGTTTCGTGCCTCGGGTGGAGCCAGCACTGAACCAGTCAGCTAGCTGCCGAGGGAGCTGCGCATGCTGCAGCAGCAGCTTGATTCCTGAGAGACTGCCAGTATCACGAATACACACCTCAGCCTTTAGTAGTGTGTCGTTGCAAGTGTCCCGCATAGTACTGAGGGAGAACCTGGTGGTAGCAGTACATGCTGTACTGTGACGGTGTGTTCTGACAGTGTCTGACAGTCTGATGATCATGATGATGCTCCGTCACAGTGTGTGCAACTAGACTACACCAGGATAGACGGGCGTGGCACAGAACACCAGCCGAACACCCTGTTTGTGTGCTCTGGCCATTGTTGTTGGCAGTCCAGCGCAGCGTGTGGAGTCGTAATATACTCCCCGGGTTGCCATGACGACTCAGCTGTACTCGGCCGGCCGCACGATGGGCGTGTCGGTGGGCACGGCGCTGGTGCTGGCCACGGCGTGTCGCGATCGCCGCGACTGCCGCAACATGGTCAAGTGCTCGACGGGTGTGCTCGTCGTGGCCGTGTGCGCGCGCGGCATTCCCAACTGGTTCCGCGGCCGCAGCTTCCTGAGCTACAATCACGTGATGACGGCGCTCAATGTGGCGGCCGCCGCACCCGTCCTCTACGCCAGCCGCTGCACGCTGGTCAGCTCGCGCCCGATGCGCGCGCTCGAGGCACAGGCCGTGCCGCGCTCGCTGCTGCGCAGTCCGTTCTACACATACGTGCAGACATCGCTGGCCACGTCGCTGGGTGCCGTGTGCATCTCGTTCGCGGCCGGCTTCGGCTGGCACGTGATTCCCGTGTACACGGTGCTGGGCTGCGGGCTGGCGCACTACGCGTGGGACGCAGCGCGCATACTGCTCACGGGCCGGTACCGCAAGCAGGTGCTGCGCCTGCACTTTCCCAACATCTCCGACGAGCTGGACATGGAGCTAGAGATCGCTCAGCTGCCGGCACCTTACTTCACCTACTGGTCCAAGCGCTACGACGACACGCGGCACGTGCACGAGCGCCTTGGCCACGAGATGGCGGCACTCGAGCGCGAGGTGCACCTGTACCGCACCATGCAGGAGGAGGCGTATCGGCTGCGCGCAGAGCTCTACGGTGAGACGCCCGGCGACGGTGGTGGAGACGCGGGACAAGCTGGAAACGAGCCGTGACGAGTGAGCATGTCGTGATGATGTTCGTGTGCTGTACTCGTGTGCTGTACTCGGTCCTGAAGGCGGAATGCTTGGACTCTCGGCGCAGTTGCATTGTAGCAGCAGAGGGAGTGGCAATTGTACGTTGGTTCCTACTTGCGCTCGCGTTTTGCCCGTCTAACTGCTGTTCCCTACCGGCATGGCAAGGTCAGCGGAAAGAGTCCGTGTATTTGGTCTCATGTCCTGGTAACATAGCCAGTGGGATAACGGCGAGTCAGTGTGCTGCCATTGCGCACACCTGCACCGCACGGCAGCGAGGCTAGTGGCTGTGCTGCTTTGGCTGCGCGGACAAGACTGTGCCTTGCTGCTGTACTGCGCTGCGGACAAGATTGGGCTGCAGGCACGGCTGTGTTTTAAATGTGCCGTGCCGCTCGCTATGCTCCTCTTTCGATGCTGGTGTAGGGCTAATGTGCGGCTCAACTAAGTTGTAAGTTGTGGATTGGCTACGAGTATGATGAACAGTCCATGGGGTAGACTGGCTCTCTCTCTCTCTCCTGTGTGCTGCAAACTTGTTCTCGGGCACTAGTGAAACTGTAGTGCTTGATGGTATTCCACTGCGTTTATAACAGCTGTTCAGGCAATGGCATGTCTTTAAGGCGGCAAGCCGACACTGCAGCAGGGGTGTAGCAGCCGGTCCGGCTTGAGCCAGACCACTTTTTTTAACACAATGCCAAAAGTGCCCAGAATGCAGGATTTTGCACCCTTAGTTAAAACAAATTTCCCGGGGAGACCCCCCCCCCCCCCCCTATCCATCCAGCCGGACCACCTCCAATGGCGGTGCTACGCGCCTGAGCAGTCATCGTATTCGTCATGCCACTTAGTGTGCGTGCGTGCACGAGTGCTGAACACGCCTTTTGGATGCTTCGTTCGAAGAGCTGCCGCCTATGGCCAAACTTGCTCTGGACTGGATTCTTTTTAAATTCTTTTTTTTAAGAGTTATTTGATACGCCGGATGTTTTGCTCCGGCATGATATGAGTTGAATAGATGTCACGTGCTCTGGAACGAATGTGTACCTGACAGTGACAGCCAGGGAGTAGTAAAATACCAGTATTTTACTACTCCCTGGCTGTCACTGTCACTTTACATATACAGTCCAGTTCGCTAATAACGACTGCGGATATAACGACAATTCGCTAATAACGACTGCGGATATAACGACAATTCGCTAATAACGACTGCGGATATAACGACAATTCGCTAATAACGACTGCGGATATAACGACAATTCGCTAATAACGACTGCGGATATAACGACAATTCGCTAATAACGACTGCGGATATAACGACAATTCGCTAATAACGACTGCGGATATAACGACAATTCGCTAATAACGACTGCGGATATAACGACAATTCGCTAATAACGACTGCGGATATAACGACAATTCGCTAATAACGACTGCGGATATAACGATAATTCGCTAATAACCACTGCGGATATAACGACAATTCGCTAATAACGACTGCGGATATAACGACAATTCGCTAATAACGACTGCGGATATAACGACAATTCGCGAATAACGACTGCGGATATAACGACAATTCGCGAATAACGACAGCATTTCCGTGCCCAGAGCAAAGTCCCTTCCAACTGTAATAATGAGACTTCGGGTATAACGACACTTCGCGAATAAGGACACTTTTTTGATGCCCCGCCGAGTGTCGTTATAAGCGAAGTTGACTGTATAATTGTACTACACTGTAGTGCCTGCTTTACGCCACCACCAGGGAGTAGTACAATACTCCCTGCTTTACGCCACCACCAGGGAGTAGTACAATACTCCCTGCTTTACGCCACCACCAGGGAGTAGTACAATACTCCCTGCTTTACGCCACCACCAGGGAGTAGTACAATACTCCCTGCTTTACGCCACCACCAGGGAGTAGTACAATACTCCCTGCTTTACGCCACCACCAGGGAGTAGTACAATACTCCCTGCTTTACGCCACCACCAGGGAGTAGTACAATACTCCCTGCTTTACGCCACCACCAGGGAGTAGTACAATACTCCCTGCTTTACGCCACCACCAGGGAGTAGTACAATACTCCCTGCTTTACGCCACCACCAGGGAGTAGTACAATACTCCCTGCTTTGAGGTATATTATGTATCAGATTGCAACGACCAGGAGGCCCAAAGTAGTGGCTGCAAATGACCGATATCCGTCACTTGCAGCTCTGCATCAGAGACCTGTAGCTGGCCTGAAGAGTTGTAAAATTACTCCTTCGTAGCCGGGCGAGTCAGAGCGAGGGCGATTCACGGCTTGGTCAAAAACCTGTCGGCCTGGAACGTAAACGTCGATCTGCTGACACAGTTCACCTGGTTCACACGCCTGACCTGGCATGCTGCCTTGCGTGAAAGGAACATTTTTCCGAAAGCAAGCTTCTTCTCCAAAATTCGAAATTTCCTTCCAAAAATGCCGTCGTCCTTGACCTCGAAGCTGAATGTTGTTAGGATAGAAAATTAGCGAAGATGTAGCCGA